GTATTGTCAAAGGGTTCATTTGCACTTTAATCGCAGTAGCTGTTTGGTAAACTAGGGCTACTAAAAGAAACTTGCTTGTGTCTTATATGTTTGTAGGGTCCTATGTGCCATTTAGGCGCGAGGTGGATAGGTGTACAGGCACAGGTCTTATATCTTTGAATGTTTGTCCTCAGGAATGATTTGGGTGGCAAATGGTCCGACTTCGGTTGTACTTTGGTCAGGGCCAACAAAACAATGACCATTTGCACCTGCAACCACTTGACAAGCTTTGCTCTCTTGATGCAAGTCAAACAAGAAAAACCGGTAAGACAGTTTCTATACTTTGAGAGATCTCCTGTTTTTGCTCTCCTCTATCTCAACGGAAAGCGTCAGGGAGCGCGGAGATGGGAGCAGTTGGAGGGCATGTAGTTCCCGCTAAAGTCCCCGTTCTCCATACACTAATCTCCATAAAAAATTTCGATATTTCTCTGAAGCCCTTGAGGTCTGAGTTTAATTGTTGGTTCTTGTCCATTGACGTTCCGTCGGTTGTTTTGGATTTTCTTTGATTTTGATGGCATGCAGCAAATCCAAACATTTTATCAATTTCTTTTACCAATTCATCTAATTTCCCAGGTGGATGAAACGCACAAACTTGCGTTAAGTCACATCACGTATGTTGGCTCCAGTTTCTCACTTCTTGGCGAATTACTCACCGTATTAGTTTACATGACTTTAATGTAAGTATTACTAGACCTAGGGAGGTTCACCACTTCATCCCCCTGGCACGTGCCACATAAATGGCTTGATTTCCCACTACAATTCGGCCCRTATGATTACATTCTAGTCGGTGAAATTCGACATTTATGTCACATCGCGTTGCGCCTAGTCAAAGTGGCTAGCAAATGATATATTCATAAAAGTGTTGCACAGATTTGGCAGTTTTGTACTTTATTAGTCCCCTTCGCAGTTCCCTGCGCCATCTTGAAAGATAACCGTGCATGTGCATCGAAGCGACAACGGCGGTTATCTTGATGAAAGAGACATGTGAATAGTTATACAAGGTGTTAAAAAGGTCTCTATCGATATCATTGAAATCTCTTCGATGCACGGTTACCTTATTTCAAAATGTCGTAGGTAACAGTGTGAAGGGGATTATTGAGAACACCATCATTCACTCATTCACGTTGCCGCTACATTGATATAATGAACCGTTGTTGTCTGCATATGCTTATTTAGAAGTACAGAAATATCTAATATCTTGACGTTTTCTCTTTGCTTTATTTTGTATTGACCATTAAACAGGAATATTCAGTTAGAGCAGTCTCAAATAAGAGTTAATCTTGCTCTGTCACTTGCCTTGGCTCAAATCTTCTTTTTGTCAGGAATCACCTCCACAGAAAACCAGGTATTTTTTTATATTTWTAAAGAAAAATGCTATCAACGTATAATAAAATATTCTCATAAAACTACTGCTTAAGCGCGCGCGGGTACAACATTTTATTTGCTAATTTATTGAGGACTTTTGTTCCATAATGAAATTAAAATGTCTCTTTTCTTTCCACTTTCCTGTTGGAAAAGGGGTTTGACAATCAGCTTTACACTTAACATGACGCGCAGGATCGCAGCAGATTTTAGGCGCCAATCAAAGTGTTTCCATAACATTATCGAAAAGCATGAAGTTCTTCTTCTGAATTTACGCGCCTAGTATGCTATGGATACGTCCTGAAAGTTGACATCCATAAAAATCAACTCCGTAGCGACGGAAAATTGTGCAATCGTGGCAGCCGCGCACGCCCATGTACTTGTTGTAATGACTTTATATTTTGTTCTCATTTTGGTAGAATGTTTGTACGTTTGTGGCTGTTATGATCCATTATTTCTACCTGGTAGCGTTTGGCTGGATGATGTTTGAAGGAGTCTATCTTTATCTTATGGTTGTCAAAGTTTTCAATACTGTGGTTAGGATGAAGTTTTATTACGCTTTCTCATGGGGTAAGGTTTTCTATCACTTCAATGATATCTCGTCTTTCTTATAGGTCACTTACCTTGCACTTAACCTCTAAAAAATATAGACTTTAAAAGAGATTACGAGTCAATATAGTGATAAAGGCAACGTTAGCACAATTTTCACTCAGCTACAAAAATCCAAATCTTCTTCATCAGTACACAAGAGGACAATGGCATAGAGATTCTTTCTTTTATCTTTTTTCTTTACTTCTTTCTTTTCTATACTTTTTTTCTTTTTAACTATAAAATCTAGTTTCATGATATTCCTGTACGACAGCACTGATGGCCATAATGAAACTCCTTAAAAACATAACGTTTACAAAAAATGTTTCATTTGTTCGTTGGTACTTGTTTCCTTTTTTGTTTGTTTGATACACATACAGTAAATGTCATTAACGTTGTCCACCGAAAAAAGACATTTACACATTTACACATTTAGACATTTAGACTAAAAGAAATATCACGTGTTTAATTATGCATTCTTTGCCCTGTGTGCGTCAACCTGAACTTTAAATGTAAAATTCAACTCGTGAATCGAAAATCCAGAATGCCCCGACCATTTAGTGAGGATTTAAGATGGAGAATGGTATTTCAGCGTTTGTTTTATGCCAGAACCTTCGAGGAAACACGTGATATTTCTTTTAGTCTAAATGTGTTAATGTGTAAATATCTTTTTTTATTTATTTACTTATTTATTTATTTAAATATTTAGTCTCTGGGTTCTCTCCAAGAGCTAGGCTCATCTAGGTAAATGTCTTTTTTCAGTGGACAATGACATTGACTGTATATATTTTTAATAGGTTTTCCATTGGCTGTTGTCCTAACATCTCTTGGCATCGCTACTTCTTTTGTAAATGGACTTCACAGTTACACACAACGAAATTTGTAAGTTTTTTTCAAAAGAAATTAATTAATCACATACTTGCATCGTCAGCACTTATTCAGAATAGCCTGTGTTATGTACTGTTTAAAAAACTCATTAATAATTCATGAAGRAAACACAATAGAAATCATGACCATGAMGGAGGTTTTATATCTGATATAGATTCGTCTTCATTTGCATAAACTTTAACTTGGATTTTCTCTATCAAACTTGGTTCATTTCGTAAAGAATTCGGTACAGTATGAGAACATACATCAGGAGTTTTTTAAGCCGTTTAATAAACTCGCAGATCGTGTTTTATCGGGTCTAAAACCACTCGGCTACGCCTCGTGTTTTATACCCGATAAAACACTCCTGCTCGTTTATTAAACAGTACATATGTACAGCCAATTGAAGTTGTTATTTAATTGTCTTTTGTTTGATCTATTGATATTTTTTCCTCAGTTGCTGGGTTTCTTTTTCTAATGGACTAGTTTGGACGTTCGTAGCTCCAGTTCTCATCATTTCATTGGTATGTAGCATGTAAGAAATGTTCCATGTTAACCTTGGCTCAGTCATATAAACTGTTTATTTGGCATCCGCACTTTTAGAATATTGATAATAACGATAAAAACGATAATCAAGATGATGATGATATTACAATTATGATGATAAAGATAAAAATGATGATGATGATGATTGTAATGGTCATGATGATGATGGTTGTGGGGGTGTTGGTTATTATGAAGGTGATGTTGATAATGATAACGATTATGATGATGATAATGGTGGTGATGATGGTGATGATGTTGGTTCTTATGAAGATGATGTGATGACGATGACGATGAGGACTATGATGATGGTGATGGTGGTAGTGATGGTGATAGTGGTTGTTATAAAGAAGATGATGGTAATAATGATGTCGACGATGATGATGGTTAATGCCCTTGGTTTCTAATGTATTTTAGATGAATGTGGTTATCCTTGGCCGGGTCGTACGCGAATTGGCAACGTTAAACAAGACGAATTCACAGAACGCAAGCTCTTACATGTGAGTATGGATAGTTTAGTGTGTTACTACATTTACATCTTTCGTGTAAGTCTTCTTATTTAAATTACGGTTATAAAGAAGATAGAACGAAATAACGATTGATGTGGTGACTTAGCCTTGCTGGACCCACGTACGACCAATGAGACACTTATCCTTTAACTCAACCATATTAATTGCACCTTATTCTCTTTCCTGGCCAAAAAGTCAAGACAAAATTTAGTACATTATTTATGGTGGGAAGACCAGGAAAAATAGTCCTATCCACAGCCCATGGCGTATTATATTTGTACCATAACCATCCACATCACTCTTACTATCATATCGTATCGCTCCGGTAGCGAGCCTGAATCTTATTAATATATTACATTATATTTAATATATTACTAATTGATCCTGTTTTATTTCAAAAGGCAAAGTATAAAGGCAAGTGTGGTATTGTTCCCCTTGCTTGGATTGACATGGGTGTTTGGCATCCTCATGTTTACAGACGCGGCTCTTATCTTCCAGTACATCTTTACAATACTTAACTCTTTCCAGGTCAGTGCAAATTTTCTGTAACATTACYGGCGTTTGCATTGCTACGCGGCCACCACAGACAAATCGCGACGTGCACTTTGCAATAGACTGCCGTCAATCAAACACGTTGACGCCATTTACACGCGTGTGTGATTCAAAAGGCGCCAAAACTTGTCGCGATTGTTTACAAGTATTATGAGCCACACTCCCGGGCCTATCCGGGCCGATCCAAACGCGTGTGTTGATTGACGGCAGTCTATTGCAAAGTGCACGTCGCGATTTTTGTCTGGGGTGGCCGCGTAGCAATGCAAACGCCGGTAATATCTCCCTTCTTCCATTCGTCATAACTTGCAATTTTTGATGCCAGCCACCCATCCACACAATCACACACCTCATCACCACTGCTAACCACACAGGCCATCTTAAAAGACGTCCCTTTGTTCTTCTCATCCCTGATTATATCCACTTATATCCACACACATCTCATCACCACTGCTAACCATCCAGACCATTTTAAAAGACGTCCCTTTGTTCTTCTCATCCCTGATTATATCCACTTAACCAATATATTGAAATTCAATGGTAGCTCCAGGAGGGGGGATTAGGTGGGTACCTATCTATAGCTACAGTTACAGTTTTGCAAATAAGAACAAAAAGTAACTCTATAAACAGATGATTAAAAAATATATGTACTGCCTTTGTAGATAACTGCCACCACCTTTGAAATTCTCCATCCTGATCTGTCTTTGCGTAAATCCCATTCTTAAAGGTTTTACTTGACTAAGAAATTTCATCCTCAATTTTTTCTTAATCTTTTCCCAATTTAAACCACTTGACAAACTGCCTTTGAGAATTTTTTTTTTGTTATGCACCCTTGCCAGCTCGATAATACATAAGTAGGCATTACAAATTAACTTGGGACAAAGCAAGCCGAAAAAATTTGAAACGGGTTCCATCTCCCACTTTGGATCTGACAACCTTTTTTAAAATAATGTACATGGCCCTGACTTTTACGATTTTAATTTCTCTATATTTTAGGGTTTTCTCATTTTTGTGTTCCACGTCTTAAGAAGCAGAGACGTACGCGCAGCCTTTAAGAGGAAATTTGAGCGTTGGCAATTGACAAGAAGAGTAAACTTCGGTTGTTCGAAGTTCAAGACGGATATTTCAGCTAAGTACAGTAACAAGCATCAAATGAAAGAGTTCAAGAGTACAGAAAGTCTGCAGGAAGGCCTTAGAAGAAACAACAGAATTTTACCGTCACCCTTGAACGAGGAATTTGACACCAAATCAGCAACATCTTGTGTCACGCCTGTTGAAGACAATAGAGACATTAACACCATGCATGCTAGGGACAACAAACCTTAAACTGCAGTTGGATGTCAGGTGTTTTCCGTCGAACTTGATTTCCCCTCTCCCTCCCAACTTCCCCTTCCTGTGCGTGAGCACGAAGCGGCGGCTTGGTAAAAGAGCAGGCACTCTTTGAAGGAAATAATATGGACACAAATAGGTGAGAGAGATAGCTTCTTTAGAGAGAATCAACCGTGCTCAAAAAAAAGGAAACTTCACCAAGAATGAAAATTTCTCACCCCACAGCACACAAAATATTGTCTCACACGTAAGTTTCCCAACGATTCTCGGCGAATAAATCACACTTACAAAAATTAACGCACGAGAATCAAAATGGCCGAAACATCATTGCCTTAAGGTGACTGCCTACTTTTGGAAATTGATTTAAGCTTTTTTTAAAACTTCGATTTTCCGAATTGAAATTTAATGCTGATTCCAAATCTGGAAAGAAAAATAGGGTGTCCCGAGCTCGTTTTCGAGATAATCAGCATTTAATGGAAGCCTACGCACGAGCTTTTGGAGTAAAAATTGCGCCACCGGAAGTGATTAGAAAAAATTAAGATTCATAAGATAATAGTTATTTGCAGACTATATGATTGCATAAATGAAGGCTAGTCAATCATTCTACAATAATACATGGATATTTTCGACAAAAAGACAGAGAGATACATTGATTTGTCATATTTTGTAGTTTCGGTGCTCTTANCAAAAATCTATTTTTTCACGTGTTCCTGATTTAAACTTTTCCTAAAATGTTGATATAACCTAGATTTTTAGGAGTTTCTTCGAATGAGCTATCAAAAAATATAGAGTCCCGTGCAAAATTTGAGGGTTTTGCCGTGTTGAAGCTCAAAACGCGTATGGTTCTTCAATAAAATCTTGTAGATTTTTCAGCGGTTTTTGAGCGCGCGCTCATCGTGGGCTCAATTCGAACGTTCAAAAGTAGGCAGCCACCTTAAGAGCGATATAGTATTGTTGATATTTAAATTGTAGCTACTGAGAAAAGTCGGTCCATTTCTGGACTAATTACTAGTAACGTGCATACGTAAATAGAGTCCCACACTTTTCTTGATCATAGTAGTAACGTGATGACTGTCTTCTCGCATGGGTCACCAGTCATGCTCTTTAGCCTCAAATGCAACGATATGCCTGATGATATGATTTCAGTGAGGAATATGAAACGCGCGAGCGTGTCTCTGTCCTCTGATATAAACACGGTAGCCAGCCAATCATTGCGTGCGTTATATTTCAAATAGTTTATAATTAACAAATAAAACAGCTTTTTCTGTTTTCCGTTCAATAACAAAGCACGCAGGAAGTGTTGTAAGCACGAAAGATGTGTAAGGAGAAGCACGAGCCTTAAGCGAGTGTTTCTCACACTTCTTGAGTGTTTACGGCGCTTCCTAAGTGCCTTATTTTTGAACGGAGCAAGGAAAAAGCTGTTTTAATGGTTTTATTATATAGTTACTAATTTTATTTCGGTATTGGATTTATTTACGCAAAATTAAAAGAAAAAGGGTCGCAGGATCTAACAGCACTTCGCGCATGCAGATGGAGTCAGCACTGTACTCCGTTCACTAATAAAGCACAGTTTACGAGCAATCAGCGCGTGCCTACTATCCCAACTATATAATATTGAACTGAGTAAAGTGCAATTTGGTCTGAAATCAAACAAGTAATTGTAACATGGCAAGACCACGTAGCGCGAGAGTGCAGTTTGTTAATCACAAGTTTGATTTCAGACCAAAATTTCACAACATTTCAAAATGGATATAATTAATCGCACTCCTTTGAACCAATCAAAGGTACTTATCACCCAAAACGGAGAGGAGTCAGAGGATTATTTAATTTAGGGAGGATTACATAATCTTTAAGCAACTGGAACTCAAGGGGTATACACATTGACAGTGGCGGATCTAGGGGTGGGTTTTGGGAGTTACAACACCCCCCACCCCCCCCCCCCTATGAGAGCCATCGTGATTTTTTTTTCTCATGACAACACCAACAGCATCGCGAGTTTTATTGAAACAGGGGTACCGAACACATTTCGCTCGCTTTTTTCTATACGCCGAGTGTGGGTCCTGAAACAACCATGCTTACCTGCAGCAAATAATCATTATCATAAGACTACTTCCGTTTGGGAACCCTGTGCTACTTTCCCGCCAAACAAGTACCTCAATCAATGCTACAACCCCCCTTTGAAAAAATCCTGGATCCACCCCTGATTGACATGCAGCAAGAGAGAGGGGAACCCTGCAAAAATGAGAAAGCAGAAACCAATAGTAAGGGAATATCATCAAAAATATTTCATCTTTGGGGGAAGGGGGTCAGTTAATCCTTATGACTTAATAGTGTCAACAAAAGTCCTCCGAGCCCCCRGGCTATAAAGTGCTATAAATCATAACCGGTCCCTAAATACCCCGKACATGTATTAAATGGACAAACACTGTGTTTTGGCCACCTGTTGACAGTATTAGAAATGCTTGATCATAAATGGTTGTCTATGGTGACTCTATTCATATAGAATACGTTGTTTTACATACCACAAACAAAAAAGAAAAGCAAGAATTTATTTTTAGTTTACTTTTGAAAAGGTTTGCAGTAAAAAAAAATAAAGTTCCAGAGTATCCCCACCGACTACTTCTTGCTCAATTGTCTCTAACAGTGTTAAAACCAAATCAACCAATGGTTTTTGTATAAAAGAATTAATTTTCTAATTAATAAGTCAGGGGCATAACCAGGGACCTTGCAGGGGAGGTACATAGGCAATGATTTGCAGAAACCCACCCCCCCCCCAAAAAAAAAAAGGTAACAAAAACAAAACAGAACCAAAAAAGAATAATGGGAAGGGTGAGTGATTCTTAAAATTGCTACAATATGCAGATGGAAAGTGGTCTTCATTTAATTTAATCAAAAAACATTTACATGCAATTTTAAAGCAAAAGGAGATAGATGAGCGGACCTTAAGCTTTTTTGTGCTCCCCCCTAGTTACGGCCCTGTTGTTCCTCTGATTACATTTACGAGTCCAACCGGAAGTAAAATTGAAACATATTTTTAGGGTGGAGTTCCTGTGGATCCTTTTTAATACCCGTGAGGTTCTGCGAGCAGCAAAATTCTTTGAAAAGTTTGAATGCAGCAAGTGTATGATCAAAATGAATGACCTCTTTCTCTTAAAATGGACTTAAAGCTTCTAGGAAGCTTACATTGGACTTCTAACTGCCTACGCTTATTCTTAGAGTAGTATTAAGTGTCAAGGTTATATGCAATGGCTCCCAATGTTGAACCATGCTTGCAAGAATTCTCAAATTGTTTCTCAGAAAGTGCAGCTACAAAGGCAAATGATACGATAAAAAGAAGTCTTAGTAGTGACGAAAGACCGCAGGATTCTATTGAGACCCAAGGTTCTATTGACACCCAAGAAATTTTGTTTGAAAATTTAAAAAAATTCCACGAGTCTGGATACATAGACATTTCTGATGGAGAAACAAAGTTATTGGAAATGTTGGCTGAGGGAGTCTTGGCTGATGAGAAAACTGGAAAAAAGGAACAAGTGGTGAATTTAATTCAAAGTTATAAATCTCAGTTTCCAATCCAGGAAAAAATTTTTGGAAGAGAAAAAGATATGAAGAAAATTCTAAATTTTTTGTCTAATCCTCGCGTTCCTGGACTAAACTTGTTTGGAGAATCAGGAGTTGGAAAGACAACCTTAGCCAAAGAGGTTTCTAAAAATATGAAAGAGTTTGTAACTTTATCTATTGATCTGAGAGGCACACAAGATATAAATAATGTTTACTTTAAGGTACTAGAATCATTTAATTTGGCCAAATCTGATTATAATAAAGAAAGAATCTACACACATCTTCAAAATTTAACCAACAGAACACTTCTCCTTCTTGATAATGTTGAACAGTTTATGTCCAAGGAAAAGGAGGCTGACCAAGAAGCAAGAAGCAAATTCCTAGAATTCCTTAAAGCCATCACAGTGTCTAATGCCTGCAAAAATGGACACTTAAAGGTTTTACTCACTTCTAGAATCCAAATAGATGAACAAGAATTAAAGCATGCCCTTTTTGTTGAATATAAACTCGAACCATTCAGCAAGAAAGAGTCGACAGAGTATATTAGTAGAAGAGTAAAAGATGCAGATTCAGATCAAAGGCAGGAGATAGCTGYAGTGAAAATTTCAGATCATTGCAAGGATATAATCTATTTACTGCGTGCAGCTGAACAATTAAAGAGAGAGCAGTATTCTACTTCTCTTCAAGTATTGGAAAAAATAGCTGCACAGATTGAAAAAGGGGTACCAGAACAATTTGCCTGCATCAGTGCATTGTTTGAATCTCTACCAAATGATCACCTGAAACAGATTGCTGTAAAAATTTCTTTACTTCAGCGTCCTTTCTCTGTTTACACTGCAATGAAAGTTATTGAGATGTCTTCAGAATATGACGCAAAATGGGATCTGGAGTTGTTAGTGACACAAAAAATAATCACTGCCGAAGATGTGAATGGAGAAAGGAAATATGATGTTCATGATCGTTTCAGAGAGTTTGTTGCTTTGTATTTGTGTAAAGAAGATCCTGTCTCCCAAGAACACCTCAGCAAAGGAAAAGAAAAGTTTGCTGAGAATTTTTCTGATGAGTTGGTAAAACTCTCAGAAAAATTAGAAAGTGACTTTGTTGTAATGTTCAAGATGCTGGAAGACAACAGGCCAAACTTTGAAAAAACGATTGATATCATAATTGAAGAGGAATCATTTGATTTACTTTTTTATTCTGATGATCTGAAAAAAGCTGGTCTTCTCTCATTGCTCTTCAAGTATGTAGTAAATAATCAAAAACGAAGGGAACTGTTCAAAAGCTGGTCAGAAAATTCAGAGAAAAAAGGTAATTTAGTAGAAATATATGAAGTGTCTGATGTATTATACATCTGCGCCCGGTTGTACGAAGGGTGGATAGCGCTATCCAACGGATATAGCTGTAAATCTTATCCAGYGGATAAATTTATTGGATAACAGCATTGATTTATCCACTGGATAAGGATTTATCCGGCAGATAGCACTATCCAGCCTTCGTACAACCAGGCCCAGACATTAAATGATCTGATTCTAAATCATGTGTAATAGGCCATTTAGCACCAAATGGCCAAAATATGAACCCTACCACCTCTCAACTTTGACAAGCAAAATGAACATTTCCATCTTAGAGTTCAAACCATATATCCATAAAATAGTATCCATAAAATACTAACTTATTTAAATGCTGAACAATTTTGGGACGCAAATAAATCTCTTTTCCATTTTACTAATATTTGTTATCTAAGGGGAGTAATGATAAAAGGGTAAATTTTACATCAAGAAAAGATGAAAAACTTACTGACGTTTYGGACACTACATGTAGTCCTTCGCTAGTCCTTCATCAGAAAAATTCCCAGCCAACTCTCTTACTCTGACGAAGGACTAGCGTTCAAAACATCAGTAAGTTTTTTCATCTTTTCGTGGTGTAAAATTTAACCTTTTATCGTTACTGTTTCATTAGAAACACCAATGCAGCTCACATTAGTTTTTAGCTAGTTACAGTATCTCTTCTAGGGAGGGAGGGTGGGCGAGAGCAAGATCTAACCTCTGAGCTGATCAAAACCAGGGTAAGCTACATTTTAAATCATGGATCAATTTACAATTTAGTACAAAGGGTTTTGAATTTACTAGATGAAAAATGGAGAAACAGGTGAGGAACCCACTACTGTAATTGAGAGACCCAACTACCAAGTTCAGGAGTCAAACCAGAGACAAGTGCACTTAATTATCCTACACCACCCTGGGTTTTTGTGATTATTTATGATTACAAGACTTACTAATAATTGTTATATACCAACTATCAAAGTCCATTTTTCTCATACTAATTGATTGGGCAAGAAGATATCCCGTAAACGTGAACAAGTTTGCATATATATCAGTCCTGTTTGAGCTTATGCTTCAAAATATAGTTTGTCCAGTCTGTGGGTTTGCATTTGCAATTTAACATTTTTCATCAAGTTCTTACTTTTTTTCATAGGGAATTTGTTGATAAGTGCATACATAAAATGCTGGGAGGCCCTTCTTTCAGCAGAAATGGAGGGAATTTCACGTGGTTTTATAACACTAAATCAAGCAAAAAGGTTTCTGGATCAGGTTCATAAGAAGACATCAAATCAAGGACTCTTTGATATGACACGAGGAATGTATCTATTCTCTAAAGGACATCTAAAATACCAAGAGGCTGGAAACCTCACTGACCAGTCATCTTCAGAAACAAAAAAGATGACCAAAAGGATTCTTAAAGAGGCACTCAGTGACCTAGAAGAGTCACTAGTGATTCATCAGAAAGTCTATGGTGACCATAGCCTTACAGCAAGGTCCTTAGATCTAATGGGTAATTGTTACATGCAGCAGTTTGAACCAGAGAAAGCAGAATTATTCTACCAAGAGGGTATGTGCATGAAGTTGAAGCTCATTGGTAGTGAGAAACATGAYGATATAGTCCATTACTATAACCAGCTTTCTCAAGTACACCAAATGATGGGAGACAAGATAATGAAAGGACCATTTGATCTGAAAAAGGTGATGGGGCCACTACTTCCTTACCAAAGGAGAGCAAAAAAAGAATATGAGATTGCAGCTAACTTACTGAAATTAGCATTAGATCTTCAAGAAAATCTGGGCGTTTGTGATACAGAAGATACAGCAACATTTCAAAGAAACCTTGCAAATCTTAACATTGCTCTCAAAAATTATGACAAAGCACTTGAATATGCCGAGAAGTCTTATAAAACAAGATATTGTTTGCTTAAAGAACACCCAGAGACTGTGAGAATTCTGTACCTGATTGGGATCATTCATGAATGGAGAAASGAYCAYAAAGCAGCTCTAGCAAGTTACGAAGAAGCTTTTGTAATGGAGGAGTCTTTACCTGAAGACAACCACAGCRTTGTGAGAAAACTACTTTGTGACAGACTTGAAGCAATGTGTAAGAAACTGAACAAGAAAAACAAACTGAAAGAGTATGGACCAAGAATCAAAGCAATGAAGCAGGTATTTTTTTTCAAAAGAAAAAAATAAGTAAAAAGAAAGAAATTTTTTTCTTCTACACCTAAAACCATATCTGCATGCAGCTTTTGAAACCTAAATAGCTGGCCTTCAGCAAGATGTCACTTCCCACCTCCTTTCCCCTCCCCTCCCATTTCATTTGCAGACTCAAGATCTGTTCATTACCACTTCCATTTTTAAATCCATTGTATATTTTTTTTCCATCAGGATCATATTTACTGATGTTTTTATACTCTTAAATGTTATCTTACAGATTAAAAGCTCTCAGCCACACCCTGAAGGTACCTTTTTGTCATCTTCAACATTTATAACACTTTTTTTACTGTAACTTACATTATTTTTATTTCAAGTATCTAAATAATAATATTTAAAAAAATGCAAATTGTCACACCACTTTCGGTTCCCGAATTAAGGTCCAACGTTTTGAAACCACTTTTCAGTGTAGAATTTTTAAAAAAATTGAAGAAAAATAAATTGCTCAAGGTCGTAATCTTTGCAACAGCGGAGTTCGATATCGAGTGATCATAATTGGTTAGTAGAAAAATAAAAATTGTTTTCATGGAAACGAATGAAAGGCAAAAAAACGGTGACGACACTTACAGTAGCTTATTTGCGCAAGCTTGAAGCACAAAAATAAGCGTTTTTGAGTTTATGTGCAGATATCTTTTTCGAATTCATTTTTTAATTATTATTATTATTATTTTTATTATTTTTAAATTGTTTAGGCTAAGCTTTGTGTTTTGTTTTTTTTTTGTTGTTTTTTTTTTGGGAGAAGGGATGGGAGTATTGAATGGCACTGAATATCTTCTACAATTATCCATCCTAGAACCTGCAGCACAAGTTTCTCCAACGACAAGAGGACGTGATGAACAACACCTCGAGACTGCTGAAGAGCCAACGGAAGAGGAAGTCTCTGATTATCTTATCCAGGGTGATATAACAGAGGAAACTCCTCTTATCTATACTGAACCAGGAGTAGCTGACGCTGAACATCCTGTCCAGGAAGACCTACCAGGTCTTCCATTACCACCAGACGTTACTGCTGTCACCCCTACTGAACCAGGAATAGCTGACGCTGAACATCCTGTCCAGGAAGACCTAACTGGYCTTCCAATACCACCAGACGTTACTGCTGTCACCCCTACTGAACCAGGAATAGCTGACACTGAACATCCTGTCCAGGAAGACCTACCTGATGTTCCATTACCAACAGACGATACTCCTGTCACCCCTACTGAACCAGGAATAGCTGACACTGAACATCCTGTCCAGGAAGACTTGCCTGGTGTTCCATTACAACCAGACGATACTCCTGTCACCTCTACTGAACCAGGAATAGCTTACACTGAACATCCTGTCCAGGAAGACCTTGATATTTCGGTTGTAACTGGAATAACTGATGAAATTCCACCACAATGCATTACGATGTAAGTATAAAATAGTCATTGCTATTGTTTCTGCTACTGCTCCGTTTGATTTCAGTATTCATTCTTTCATTAGTTTTTTAAATTTTAATTCAACTTTGTATTGAACAGAAATCCAGAAGGCGGAATTCTTGACATCCCCATGATTGGAATTCGCCTCGATATCCCACCAAACACAGTCACGCAAGCTACCACTCTAATATGTAAGAAATACACTGCAGAATCCTTACTCGTGACATTCCCTGCTGGGAAAGACGAAACTGTCGTAAGTTACATCGTGGGACTGGAACCCAGTACTATTCGACTAAACAAGCCGATCAGCGTTAGTCTGATGCATTCTGGGCCAGGAAAGGAATATGGCTACGAAACTATTGTGAAGGCACTCAGTCAGGACAATGAAACTTGGCAAGAGCCAAAAGGTACGAATTTACTGAAATTACAAACTCAAGTTACAAATTGTTACCACTAACTTTGACTAGAGGTTGCTTTAGGATTTAATTTGCGAGTAAGTCGTGCCCTGACTTAGATCAACGTAGAGGTTATTTCAGGGTACCCGAATAAATTCAAAGTCTTTTTTATCGAATAAAGTTTTAGATCGCAGACAAGTGAAGGAATCAGCAGATTGCAGAAAAGATTACGTTGAAGTACAGATCGGTGAACTGACCATCTTAGCAGTTGTAACCAGACTCATCACAGATCGATTCCAAGTCACACCCAAAGGATGTGTTGTCAGGTCTTCTGTGTGCGATGATGTCACGATTGAGTTCCCTCAAGGAGCTGTTAACAAGACCGTGGAAGGGACCATGAAGGTTTGTGGCATATTTAATRGTATTTTACTTATTTCGCTTTATATACGGTAATCAGCGTAATTAGTAGTGAATCATGAATGCCAGTATCATTTATGTTGTTACCATCTTATTCTCTGCAGCTGATACTCGTAGATTATTGGAAGAAAGAAAATGGGTATCCTCTCCCAATACTGTGCGTAGATGGCTTTGATGACGTTCACTTTAAGAAACTGCCAACAATAAAACTGCCTCAACCTTGTCCTGAAAAATATTCTGAAAGTAAGATCTGCGTGCTCTGTCTGGAGGATAGCAAAACTCTAAGTAAAAATGAAAGCCAATGGAAGGACATCACAGAGAAAATACACATCGAAGAGAATGAATATTCTATACAACTACATGTGACACATTTTTCCTGGTAAATATAGATTAGAGAATGTATTCAAAAGTTTTGTTTTTTCTTTGTATATTTTCACATTTTTAAATYTTAGTCTGTAGTTTTGAATATCTGTTTGCGTTATAGTCAGTGATATTTTTTCTTCTTCCTTTGCTCAAAGGTTTTCTGGTTGGAAATGGAAAGACATCCCACCCATAACATACATATCTTCAGCCTACGAATATCTCTATTCACCTCCAACAACTGTTTGTTTCGCAGCCTTTAAAATTACCGGAGACTCATTCAACAGCTTTCAATTAGGGCTATTGTGTGTTGATAACACACGCCTTGAAGAGTTGCAAGGTATAGTATGTTTAGAAGGCTTTTCCTCATAAGAAGAAAGTTTCTCTCTTTTTCATGAAAGGAACCAAGAACATCAATTCGTTTTTTGAGCAGAGAAATTTCAGTTAAACGCCCTTCTGTTTTCTAAGGATACTATGGAAACCCCTTGTGATTGACGTCCACCAAAGCCTGCTTTGTCGTAACAGGAGCTATGACTAAAGCGTTCACCTCTCTTCTTAATTTATCGAACTCACTCACGTCAAGTTATTTTTTTCAAAAAAAATTAAAGTTCAGTTTCAAGAAAGCAAAAAAATGCAACATTTTTGTCGCAATTCTGTAATTCGTTTAAAGCTTACACRAACGTTTTTTACTGTTATTTAGTTAACTCACAACTAAGTCTCAAAACGGGAGAAGCAATGCGAAAAAACGAAAAGGCTTATGTTCAAATAAAGGGAGACTTCAAACAGGATGAATCAGACGCGGAACCCGTCTTTCTTTGGTAAGTCAGAACCTATCGATTATGTCACATGATGCTAAGCCTCACAACAACCAGTCAGAGCCTACAAAATCTAACATCAGCACTGTTATTCTGATATATATTCTGGAATATATATTTTTTTTCTTGGATTGAGTCGCAAATGATTTCTCAATCTCCCGAGTCCGACAGCGGTCATGGATGGCTAAAGCGTTGGCCCCCAGCTCGATATCTAGGGCCCCGTCCACACTAGAATGGCGGATAAATTTGAATCCGCAACTTTCACACCGAAACCGAAAAAAAGTATTCCGTCCACTCATGAAAAAACAGATGAAATGTTTCGCATCCATACTAGTCCGATCAGAGGCGGCAAAAATGCTTCATTGCACATCTGAGCATTTGCATCGAAGCTGAAATTGAGCCTGCGGTGAATTTTTAGCCTTCCCGCCATGTTCCCATTACAATCATGACGTCATCGTATTCGAAAAGTTCCGAATACGAAATGTTCTCCGTTCACACTAATACGACTAGCCGATGCTTTCAAATTGTTCCACTCTGGAGACCGTATTCGAAAAGTTCCGTTTTAGGTGAAGAGTTGTTCCGGATTCACCCTTACTAGTGTGGACGTTAGGCCTAACCGAATAAATAAAAATTCGGATTCAAATTCATCCGGCATAATGTGGACGGGGCCTAGAACTTTTTTTCGAAATTTTTTTTGCCGTATTGATAGGCTGCGCATCAAACATGGTGCGCGACGACAAAAATRGCAACTATGTTGTTAGTTTTGATGTATGAAGGTCGTTTAAAAACCTGCAACATGTTGTTGCAATAAAATATCGTTAAAAATTATAAATTCGTATGTCATGTTACACGGGAACAATTTTTCGAGCAACACTTTCGCGAATTTGAACAGTCTTTGAGAAGCGTCTAGTGTAACACTAGCTTTACAAGAGGCAAACGTTTGGTGCAACAGTGTTGCCACTAAAAATCGGCTAGCGTAACATCACCTTTAGCATCACCGCCTGCGCCTCCCGTATTGGTTCATCCTAGATTTAATAATCGTGTGATTTAATTTGGTTTAATGTGTTTTAGTTTTTTAGGAAAGAAGGTGTATAAAAATGACGTTTATATTTGCAAAAGGGGTGGAATCTATAAAGACGGCGAAGAAATGCTTAAAGTTTTTTTTCACGCCGAAAATGATGAAAAGCGTCATTTATGCAAACTGTCTCACAAGGTGAGAATAAAGGTGTTATTATACGAGACGATTTTTTGCGCAACATTGTTATGTCAAAAGTTGGCTAAGTGTAGCATAACGCGCGCGGCAACACAAACTGATGGCAACGATGGTGAAGTTCTTTAAAGCTCGTTGAAAAACCTCCAACATGTTGCCGCAACAAATATCGTTAAAAATTGTAACGGCGCGCCATCTTACACAAGGCCAACTTTTAACAAAACAATGTTGTACGAAAAATTGCAAATCGTCTCGTGTATATTTTTATCTGGTTTGGTTCACATTTGCTCAAGAAGCATCAGTATACAAGTCTTCAGGTTGACATTAGTAAATATAAACATTATGGTGATGGTAATTGTTTTTCCTGTTTGCCATTGTTTGTTTAGGCTAAAGATATTCCATCGCCTCCGATATGGTCAACCAAAGGTACGAAAGGCTGTTTTTTAACAATTATTCGCCGAAGGCAAAGTGAATATCGGGGAACATTTACTAAGCCGCCAGTCTTCTTCTTAAATTTTAGACTTGAATATCAGAAAAAAAGACGTAATTGAGGGTAAAAAAAACGTTTTAGTATTACTTCCACTCTGGCATACTTTGGGAAACCTCATAATCACCGCTCGAGCARTGATTATCGTCTCAGAATCACTTCTCGCTCGACCAATCACAGCGCGCGAAATTCTATAATTAAGTCAAAAGTTATACTCAAGTCGCATATTTCATATAATCCCGGGTTGATTAYACCTAACKGATACGGTTCGACATGTCGTGCCATTGCATTAGAGAGAATATATTTGAATTTTTTTAGAAAGAATCGAGAGCTAAGATGTGATAGCTTAGAGAATTTTATTGATCCCTTGAGTTCCTGTTACACTGTGCAAACTTCTCAGCAACGTGTATCGCAATGCTTGAAAAGATGTAGCGT